ATGTTTGTATAGATAGATTTGTTTTTTGAGAGGGAAACCGAGAAGTTGCATCTGTTTTTGATGGAAATCCTGATTTTCACATGTGATTCTTTAAGTTTTGTAAACTACAAGATGTTAATTGTCCTGCTTATAATGTACTTTGAATAAGTAGATGTAGTCAATAAAATATATTGTGCCGCCTAAGCAATCAAAACATTATGTACGCTGTTATATCTGCCATCAAACTCTCTGTTGATTATTAACCCCAATTGCTATTGAGCACACATTAACAGTAGGTAATCTGGTGAGTGAGCAAGCCTTTTCTACACTTCCATTGATGTAGCTTACAATCAATCATGATAAAATGCACCTAAGTGTTTGGCTCTTGATATTCCTATTTGGCTATCTTGCCCTCCACATAGCAACAGCTGGGTTTCAACCAATTCCTGTCTGCCGTTTAATGGCTCGGGTTAAGAACATGGAGTGTCACAGAAGGTTGAACATATACCCAGATGTTGCTGTATGTGCTGTGCTATCATGATGAATCCTTCTCATGCCACAGCATTTTCAGAACCAACATTGCAATAGTGAAGAATATCTTTCCTTTTAATTTTAATTTTGAGTGTTAAGGTTGAAAGGTAAACCTTCATCGACACAGTAAACTACTGTAACTGTAAAGCAAGTTAATTGTTCAGGCATTTAAAATAGGAATATAAAAGGACAAGCTTCTGAACAATAAAAGAAAAGCCTTCCACCTAATAGGAAAATATGGCTTTGGAATATCATATGCATCATGTACAATATGTAATTAATCTGAGATTGCATGCTAATGTGGAACAGCAACTCCTCAGTGTCATGTCTTCAGATCTTTAATTGTTCTTCCGAGGTTCGTTTCATGGATTATGTAGTTGCAAGAAAGATTTATTCATCCAGCGCTTCACACTGGAGATTTGCTTTGACAGCCTTAGCACAATTACATTACTCAAAAGAATTGATAGAATACCTAAGGATCTGAGGTATTAGAATTGAAATGCTTGTCTAGAAATAAAGATCTTCATAACTTTAATGGGTAGATGATTACAGGACATAATTTGGTTCGCTGAACATTTTTTTTCCGGAGTTGCAGCTCAATTTATCTCTGTGTTCAGCTTTGTAAAGTTAAACATGATAGTGCAGAGGTTTATATATTTACAATTTTGGAGCTGATGTGCATTCTAAAAGCAGAATCATGACTAAATCAGAAGATTGAGGATTCAAAAACAACCCACATCTGACTTTCATCTCAAAATTTAGGTTGATACTGTCAAAAATGAGAGCTGCTGTCTTTTGGAGACAAAAGTTGAGGTCTGGCTGTTTGTTTCCCTGGCTTTCATCAACAGTGGTTTAACAAAGAGTTTGGATTTTAATAGGATCTTAAAAGAGGGAACAGAGGTAAAGGACGTTAGAGAGGGATCATCTGGACATCACAAATGGTGATGTACAGAAAAGCACAATATGAAGTATGGGATAACACAATGTGGAGCTGGAGGAACACAGTAGGCCAGGCAGCATCAGAGGATCAAGAAAGTTGGCGTTTCGGGTCAGGACCCTTTTCTGAAGAAAGGTTTCAACCCGAAACATCAGCTTTCCTGCTCCTCTGATGCTGCCTGGCCTGCTGTGTTCCTCCAGCCCCATACTGTGTTATCTCTGACTCCAGCATCGGCAATTCTTATTATCTCTCAATATGAAATATGGGATTGGAGAGCTTTTTTTTCGGGGCGGGGTGCGTTGTAGTGCTGTAGATGGTTAGAGATAGGATGGGCAAGATCACAAAGGTGTTTCAGTACAAACATACGATTGTTAAATCCAAGGTCTTGGAAAACCAGGAGTCAACATGTATTAGCAACGACCAATGATGAATGCTATATATGTATCTGAAAACTTTAATCATGTGAGTGCATTAAGCACCATCAATTGTGCTGATACCATGAAATCTTAGTCAGAGTAAAGTAGGTGCTCGTAAGAGACAGACTTGAGGCTAGTGAACCCCTAAGCCTTTGTGGTAAAGTAGATCATATTCAAGTGATCTGTAAAGAGTAGTAGTCATGCAATGGACTTTTATTTATTCAACAGCATTTGTTCTTCTAGTTAGACCAAAAAGGTGCCCGTTTTCATCCATGCTGTACCACGTTGGCCTTGAAGGGGTCCTCATACACAACACTATATTGCTGCATTAGTGAGTGTTCTGGCATAGGGTCTGTTAGTTCTTCGGGAAGAGACTGTCTGCATAAAGGTGACAGTGTTTCACATTTCCCACCTCTGCATTCCCTCATTTTGATGATCTTAAAAGTAAAGGTAACAATATTTCACTCTTTCAAGCACCATCGTATTCTAGAAATCCCAAATCATACGTCTTATACAAGTGGTAGAAACATTAACAGTTGTTGATGTAGAGTCGCTATATAATTCAGTCTGACACTTCAGCTTAGTGCTGTATTGGCAGATATATTATCTTTCAGATGAAACATTAAAGTGAGGCTCCATCTGTCTGATCAGGTGGATGTGTTTTAAAAAAAATCATTCCATGGTTTCAATTCTTCTGGTAACCTGGCCAAATTATTCCACAACTAACATCACCAAGACAGAGTAACTGATGTCATTGTTTGTGGAACTCTGCTCTGTGTTCATTAGCTGTCAAATTTGCCGACAAAATAACAATGACTACACTTCAAAATGAATTCAGTCTTATGAATTGCTTAGGGCATCTTGAGACTTTCAAAGGCAACAGATAAATATGAAATGGTCATTCTTCAGAAAGACTAACTCTAAAAATTAGGTTCCATCATTTTATTTCATAATAAATAATTTGAAGTAACACACCACTTTACTACTGTAAAATCCCACTACACTGAACATTTAGGTTTGTAAAATGGGAAAATCAGTTTCTTTCTCTGCCTCAGTATCCAGGGGAGAAATAAGTTATGCCTTAGTATTATTCATGGTTAGGGGAAGGGCATCACTATTTCTTTAGGTTAATATCTAAATGAGGGCTAGATTTTGTGGAGCTGAGGGTTTCCCACCCAACACTTTGGAAACAAGAGGTGTTTACTGTCATTTCTCATGGGGTAAGCAAGGTACATAAGTATCTACTGTCAGGATTTCCCCACAATACCGGACCAGACAGCAGATGGCTCGGTCACCAAGAATTGCTGGCCAATCAGAGACTGGCTCAGTGCCAGTGTGTCAGAGTAGTGGCAATTTGGGCAATGCATCCACCACCTAAATCATGAGATTCCAAACACAGTGAACAAGGGTGGGTGAGGTCAGGGAGAGAGGATGGCTAAAGCCTCAGATGAGGGCAGGGCTTTGGGTTTTAACAGCCCTCTCCTTTCCGATGTTGGATTACTTGATTGGGAATAGAGAGCCTGATAACGAGGGATGTCCAGGAGGCCACTGGCAAACCTAACTGGGTATAAATCCTTGGGTGCAGGAGAGCTATGAAACTCCAATTAAGTCCCTGATCCACCATTGAATGTGATGGGCTGAGGGATGGTGGGTATAAATTAACTCATTAATGCGTCGAATTGACATCCCACCACCAGCACTCGAGAATTCGTTTTCAGCCCCTTCTGCTCTCTGACTTGAATGGGGGAGGTTCCCCAGGTGCCAGGAGTATGGAATGATAATTTCCCCCATGACTGAGTCAGTCGCTATGGTACCTGCTGTAAAGGACTGCATTAAATCCAGCTTGAAGTGTGGCATCACTTTACATGAGCAATCTATTGAAAACTAGTCAGTGTTGACTCTATTTGTTTCATTCTTGTTTTGCTCTGACAATATCACAATCAATTGGTGAACCCTCCTACCCAGTTTTCTTCTACCACGGAAGTCCAAGCTTATTATGTTGCAGCTCCTCCTTATTTTGTTTATGTCCAGAAATTTCCATGTTACCATTTTCTAACACCACACATACTCCTCTATCCCATGGCTGCAGTTTTTGAGCTATTTTCCTAATTCTCTATTCAGGAAGTATCTTCTTCTTCCTCACTTATTTCTGACTCTGCATTGCTGGCCTGGTCCTTTCTATTTTATTTTTTCCTGAATTTTTGTTTTCTTTCTCTGAGCTTGTATTTTACTTTGGAAGCTGAGGGAAGTTCTCGAACAGGAATGACTCCAGTTTCTCCTCATTACTTCTTCTCAGACAGGGTCAGGTGCATTGCTCAACAGTTGGTTTTGCTAACAAGTGTCTAGAGCTCAAATCCCAACATCTTTCTGCATAAAAGAATGAATATTTAGTGGAAAACTAGAATTTTTAGTTCCTTAAGATCTTAAATATAAGTTAGTTAACTTTGCATTGTATACCCAATGTTAATATTATCTATTCTGCTTTAATTTCCTTAACAAAATAACTCATGCACAACTAAACTTCCTTTAAAGAAATGAGCAATGCCTGTGAAAAGCTGGTACCCAGACTAAATTTACCACATTTGGAGTACTGTACATGTACTTTTGTTGATCAGTCATGTTCTGGCCAATTAGCACCAAATCAGCTGCTGAGGGAAAGAACCAAAGAGCGTGTTTAGATATCAAGAAGTACAGGTCAAAGATTGACAGTATTAGCGAATGAGTTGTCAATACATTTGTACTATATTCCCAGCTCGATATTTAACGGTGTTAATGGCTCTGAATGCCCATATCTTAACTTTGCCAGAAGGGTGGCAGAAATCTTTACTTATGAAAATAGAGTTTGTACAGTTCTGGTAAAAGTATGATGGTGAAGCAGAAACAGTTCCTTAAAACAATGAACAATGGCAATGCTAAAAGGGGTAACCAGTTGAAGGGTCTAGGCCCGAAACGTCAGCCTTCCTGCTCCTATGATGCTGCTTGGCCTGCTGTGTTCATCCAGCTCTACACCTTGTTATCTCAGATTTTCCAGCATTTGCAGTTCCTACTATCTCTAAGTTTTTGTTATTGACTTTCAATGCTAGCTTGGTTCCAAGCATTCAAACATCACCTAAAATGTTTTATTTTGAACAAAACAGCTCCACAACAAGTGTGCTTCCCATGTGAAACCTGAATGTGATTGTGGACCACTGAAAGATCATATCTTACCACCTTCTTCGATTTGTCCCATTGTACTGGTAAGTTGTCTATGTTGTAAGATCTCTTGCGCTCTTCAAAAAATCATAAACTCCAAAATATTTACATGCAATATAGCAAATAACCTGTTCTTACTCTACAAAAAAGAAAATCCAGACATGTTGTAAACCAAATACTCAGACTCAGCGTTGTGTGATAAAGAAGTAATCTCTGTATACTGATGTCGTTTGATGAGAAACCGGGGATGGCTATGATTCAAAGGGGAAATTCACTGCTTCTAAGCTCCCTGTCAGGAGATACGTTCGAAAGCATGTAGGCTTTCTTTAAACCCGTACCACAATGGCCCAAATTGTCCTTAATTGTGGCTTCCTACTAGGAGCTTATAGTTGATGCATACACTAAATTGTGTAAACAATAGCGAACAACTACAATAAATTAAACACTGTTATATTCCATGATTACATTTGGGGAAATATTATGCATTTATGCTCTGGCATGGAGTTTACACCATTGGCAGAGTATAGCATGAATTTAGGCTGATGGTCTTCATAAATGTCCTTGTATTATCCTAGGTCCTCCCCTTTTTTCTCACCTACATCCTGTTCCTCAGCGACACCATTTGGAAACGCCGTGTCAGCATCTGCATTTACACTGACAACAGTCAGTTATACCTAACTATTGCCGCTCTAGATCCCTCCACTGCCTGTACATTGTGGAATATCCATTTCTTAATGGTGGGAAGACCAAAACTATTCCCTTTGGTCAGTGCCACAAACTATATTTTTTAAGCATTGACTCCATCCCTATCCCTATCCCAGGTAACTGTCTGGGACTTAACCTGACTGATCGCAATCTCAGTGTGAAATTTGATAGAGTTCCCATTACATATCTATGTCATCATTGAGACCACTTGGTTCCACCTCCAGCATTCTGCTCCTCCTAGAATTTGCATCTCTTTTTTGTCACTTCTGGACTTGATTATTCCAATGCATTTCTAGTTAGGCTCCCATTTTTCACTGTCCATAAACTCATCCAAAATTCTGCTCCCATATTCTAACCTCCAACCCCTAATGAGTCCCAATGACCTCTAATCCCTATGTTTGCTGACCTACAGCAGCTCACAGTCCAACAAAAGCACAACTTTATTTCTCATCCCTGTTTTCAAATTGCTTCAAGACCTCCGCTTACCCAATTTCTGCAAACCTGTCTAGCCCTATAACTGTTAGAGATACTTCTCCCATTCCAGTTCTCATCATGTGAACTTGCGCAATTTTAATTGTTAAGCCATTGGTGCCTGTACCTTCATATATTTTCTTCAACATCATTGGGGTAATAATTTGTTAGTGAAGTGATTTCAGGAAGTGCTGGCTAGCCCAGGAAATGATACCCACATCCCATGGAGATATAAAAGAATCTTCTTGACAGAGTGGGTCATGAGCATCTAGAACTGTTTATCCCAATGACCCCAAACCCTCCAGAAAAGCTGCTGGGGTTGGGTGAACTGGAAGTTTTAACACTAAGATGGTGAATTTTTTTGTGTTTTAGGGATATAAAACCAACAGAGGTGAATGAAACTATCATAAAGATCATCTGTTATGTAATTGAATGATAAAACAGGCTGGAAGGGCTGAATTTACCTACTCTTATTCCTTCTCATCATAAAATCTGCTGAGTTTTAACTTCATTGGGCATCTTTAAAAGCTGGGCAGTCCATTCTTCCAGATCACTGCTAAGATAGTGAAGACAATAATGAACCCCCAGGAATGAACACCTGATATTGTCTTTGGGTAATTCAGGGTTAAATGGCCGAAAGTAATTGGGCCAATAGTGAGTGTGCGTTATTCAGTTGCCTGTTAGAGGTCATTCCATCTATCTTGCATATGATATGTTGATTTTATGACTTGTAGTTACCAGGAAATCTTACCTCAGTTTGTGAAGGGGAGTTAGCTGTGACAGAATTTTCTCAGTAGTATAGACTGAGCAGCTGGAAGACACACTACTGAGGCATTGCTACTCTGACACCAGTGTGGGGCAGTCTTTACACCACCAAAGTTTATAGGGACAGCTTCTTCTGAATACAGAAACTCCAAATTATATTGTAAAATAATTGTGACAAAGTAACAACAGGAATAAGGTCTTGTAAACAAAAAAAAATGTGAAAATGGAATATGTTTAATATATATTCCGAAAGCCACTCTCAGTGAGGTTGAAGGATTTAATACTTTAGAACAACCATTCTAATCTGTTGGAATACAATGCATACTTTAAACTTTGGCCGGGAAATTCATGTCTTTGGCTACAAACATTCCCCAGAAAGAGAGCAGCTGTGAGATGTTTCCAAGGTTCTGACTTTTTTTGATGTTGGAGGTACTGTGGAAAATGGTAAAATTTTCTGCATGATTGGTCACGTGACCGTATAATTCCCCATTGCCAGAGGGGAGACAATATTAAAGCAGCAACATACTTTGATTGGACTTGGTATTTGGACTTTTCATATGTAAACCAGCAATGTTTTAAATTATTTGTTATATAAACCTAAGTGTGTCTGTCATGTTGCCAACATTTTGTGTGGTCCCAGAATGATAGAAGGAAGCATCTTTCTACAAATACAAGATCATAGTGAAACCTCAATGTTGCCACATGGTTCAGCTTCCTTTTCTTGCAATAAGAATTAATTAATCTAAAGAAAAATGCACAAAGGGAGCTGTCTGATAGAGAACTCTGGTGGCAACTTTTCCTTCCCTGCCTGCTTATTTCTTAATTTTCTTGTAATTAATTAGCAATGATTTATACAGCACCATTGTCATGACTTTATCTTTGCATTTCTTTCTGGCTTGACTAATAATTAATGGTTCAGTATTCTGTACAGCATCAGTGAAATATGTCGTCTTGGAGCTAGGAGCTATCCCAGTTGCAGTTTTACTTTCTACATTGCTCCATCACTTAAATAGAGGCTAAAACACACGAAAAAAAGAAGAAATCTAATGTGGCATTATTACTGCTCTTATTTAGTCATCTGATTCATATGACCATTTCTTATATTTTGATCAGGAAAAGCATTTATTGCTGCCTTTAAAATTGTTGCTGCTTCCTTCTCAAATTTAAACTCTGCTAACAAATTCAATATTCCCATAAGAGAATTTGCATTTTTATTCGGGGGTTGCCTTTGATTCCATGATGCAAGTTAAAAAGGAAACTTATCACATTGCTGTGCATGAAGCATCTGTTAACCTGCTCTAAATTCTAAAGAAGAAAAGGATACAAAGCAGGAGGTGTCATTGTCCAATGCTGACATGTGAGCCTATACTAAGAATAATTTTAATGAACCTCTGAAATACAAAAGCATGTATGTCTTTGGGGAAAATTAACATGACCTATAACAGAATATATCTTAGGCTTGTAGTGGTTCATTTTGAGCTGATCTTTATTTTCATTGATACTGGTGTGTGGAATGAGACAACTCTTGGTGTGAGATACACTTGTATTGACCATGCTGTTAAAATTTTTAACTATGACATTAAATTTCTATCCCCAACTTTTATCTTGATTCCTTTGTTTTTTTTTTCAAAATGAGTATTCAGAAAATTTAGATCAGTTGACAGAACTATTTAAGTAGGTTTTCCTGACAAGCTGTTTTAAACTGCTATCTACCACTGTGGTGAAATATATTACAAGGTATAGGCCCACTGCAAAGAATAAATTATCTGCTGCAGTGAAATTTGGTTGCTAGTTTTGCTTGTCCAGGCTGATTTCTTCACCTCAAGTATTGAAATCATTTTAGTGGGTTCTGAGTTTTCTGCTGAGGTGTTGGCCTAAGGCTTTCCCGCAGTGTAAATTGCTGATAATCTCTGTTTAAAATTAAGTTAGCACAGGTCTAATCAATGCAGCATCTTAGATTTTCAATTTGTTGTTAAACTGGTGAAGGCCAGGAACAAGCAGACACCACTGGCAAGCTGTGTTGCTGTGATATGAATGGCAGGAAACACATTTCCATCATTCGAACATCATTACAATGTGGAAGAGCTCACTACTTTTCAGACACAGGAAGGTTGCACTGTTAGGTAGAGACCAGGTGGAATATGTCCTTAGCCTACTTTTCATCTTTTCACGCTCTGTAATTTCACTTCAAAAAGTGTAGTGTGTGATTTGAAAATACCAGCTCAGATGCTCATGTTAATTTCTTTTCAATCCTGCTATCTTCTCTTTCTCTACTTCTTTATGTGCTTTACATTTTCTTCCTTTGCTTTACTAATTCACTTTAAAGGTGTGTTCCAGTCAGCTTTTGCATGATTGCTGCAAACTCAGGTTTTAAAGAATTTTTCTCTTTTTTCACTTGATCAGACCACAACATATTGACTGTAACACGACTATAACACGTGAACGTGGATTATGTCCTACAGAAAGCTATTTGAAAGAGTCTACAGCATTTGGCAAATCTTCTCAAAGGTTGTCTTCTGTCGAAAAATGGTGACAGGATTATTTTTCTCTGTTTGCACTACCATATTTTATGAAGGTTCGACCAAATATTATCCTTTGAAACAGTTCAGATTAGCACATTGTATTTGGTATCAATCCCTACTGTGCAATGTTGAATCAGTGCCATGGATGACATCATTCAGATATTATCACTATGGTGACAGTTAAAATCAATGTAAACTATTATAAGCTTCATGCTTTTGTTTTCTGATTTTATTATTGTTGTACTTTTTTTTTGCATTTGTTTAACTTGACCATTTTCTCACTTTTTGGCTTTTGTTGTGGGCTTTTTGTGTTTTTTTTTCAAAATCTCTTGGTTGACAACCCCCCACCTTCAGTAATTCACACTCCATCTGCTTTTTGTAAGTGTCCTGGCAGCTCCGAGTGGGAGTGCTTAAACCACAGTGCAGCTCAGGAGGTAGCTCAGCCACTGCTGGGGAATCAGAACAACTAAAGAATGTGCAATAGGTATTGAGGTAGGAACAGGCAGCACAATAATTAGAAGCAAATTGGAGGAGTGCAAAAAGGTCGAAACGGCAGGTTGTAAAAATCTTCATGCATTTAA